AATGGGACAGACAGACAGGCAGACGGACGCACCCCAAGCAAATAGTGCATAGATTTCAAACACCTGCCGGCTGCAGCCACCTTCCGTAAATAGCATTTTTACCTCATTTGCCGGAACAAAATAAACATTATCTATATACATATATACATATGCATTTAGTTTTATCGTTAGTTTGTTTTCTGCTAGAAAACCGGTATTGTGCGATACGCATTTTTTTCAAGTGCCTTTTGGTTTTTGAAGTGATTTTTGCCCTGAACTTTAAGTTACCTCTTTCTTCCCTTATTTCCGAGACTGTTATGCCAACTTTATGCACCTCATATGCTGTTATTTTGCTTAAGCTGATCCATCCATATTTCCTTTTCAGTCACCCCCGGTCGAAATGATTTAAGTACCAATATCTTGGATGGAGATTGGTTGCCGTGAGCCGGCCTTTGTACCAGTGTCATTTTCATGGGCCCGGGATGACTTAGGCTCCAGGCGCCAGCGTGTCCTGCTTAGACGCCAGCGAGTTTGCAATCGAGATTGTTTAGAAAATCCGACCTGGGCGACTCCCGGTCAACTCATGGCATCGTTATAAGTCTGACGGCGTTACGGCAGCTGAGTGATTTGTTTGCAGTGTACGCGCCTGCACGGTGTCGTTGGGTTTGCGTCGTTATCTGCACGGTTGTTGAGGTCTGATGTCACTCGTGAAGAACGCTCGAAACACTGTCGAGTCTGCGGTTTGCGCACGAGCGCACGTGCGCGTCAACACGCGTCGATTCGTGCCTTTGCCTGCACGATTGCCTGTTCCTTCCCGCGAGTAAGTGTGTCGATTCCCCAAGTGACGTGACGCTGACCCAGTAGCCGTGAAGAGGTCCCGAAGTCGCCTCTGGGTGGCGGCGCTCGAGGCGACCTCCCGCCGGATCCGTTACCTCTATGTGACCCCGTTCCGGCGCTACACGTTGCCCACGTCGCTCTCACCACCCGTCGTGCTTTCCCCAAGCCGCTGATGGATGCCAGCTAATAGTGACATCCCGCCATGGACCTGGCGAATTAAAGAACGTTCTCACAATGTGTCGTCCGGCGGACACTCGATCTATCTCCATGCTGACCGACGTCCGTTCTGAGCATTCGTGTCTGCTTCTGCGCACGACAAACAACAATCACGTGCTTCGCATGTGCCGACCGCTTCATAGTTGTGGGAACGAGTCTAGGCCGAGGGTCTCTTAGTTTAGCAGCGCTTCAGGCTCGGGCTGAGAGGACGGCAAGGGGAGTATGTAGGGCGGCTTGTAGGCAACACATACCTGTCTAACCTTGTTCACGTGCATTTGGTACGCTTTCGGAAAAGTTGGATGCACTTTACGACTGCATGGCTTCACGACTCGTCACGTTAGCACAACGTCACGACTCGTGGGACGCTGAGGCTGTGCACCTTAAGCAACTCTGCTCGGAAAAGTCATGTGTGCGCCGTGAGTACGGCCGCCAGCCGGTCAGTGACGTCCTGGCGTCCCCTCCGCTGTTGTCGCCCGGCTGTCCCAGAGAGACCGTGTCGCCCCAGCTAAGGGGACTATCGGCCGGGGCCCTAGGCCCGAGAGTGTTGTCAGACGGTCTGGAATGCAGCGGGGCTCCCATGGACGCCAGAACGACTGGGGAGACTCGGAGAGAGAAGGTCGTTCTCTGCGTATTCCACGGTGCGAGGGGAGACTCGGAGAGAGGAGACTGTTCTCTGTGTACTTAACAGTACGAGGGGGGAAACTCAGAGAGAGGAGGCAGTTCTTTGCGTATTCCACAGTACGGGGGGTGACCGGGGAGAGGAGCCCGCTCTGTGTCTTTCACAGAACGAATTGGAGGCTCGGCGAGAGAATACCGTTCTCTTTGTATTCCACAGTGCGAGGTGGAGACTCGAAGAGAGGAGATCGTTCTCTGTGTATTTCACAGCACGAGGGAAGGCTGCAACCAAGACTGATCAAACATCCAATCTTGAGGGGTCAACTCAAATGTTTCTGCAGTGTCCGAGACCGTGCGGAGTTCGGAGGCCGTTCCGCGCCCCGCGATGCGCGGCCGGAGCCGGCGGATGTGCTCGGCGGCACAGCGTGCTGCAGGGGAGCACCGTCATACTGAGCCAGTGAGCGGGCCGCCAGCGTATGGGTGACCAGTGGGGCGGAGCGAGCTGGGTTGGTCTGGGGCGAGTCGTGGGTGGGCCGAGGGCCGAGGAGGTGCGAGGTAGCGTGTTAAGTGTTGCTGTGTTTCTTTTGCTATACATTACGCTAAGATGTCGCGCGCCATGTCAAGCTGTTGCGTTTAGCTGAGGCATGGGAGGACGCGGAGCTGGACGAGGAAACACTACGTAAACTGGCGACAAGGACCAAGGTTAACTGCTCCCGCGGCTGTCATGGAGGGCATTCGGCCGCCATCTACCTTTGCGGCCGTTCCTGGCAAACCGCTGGCGCCGTGGTCTGTTTGGCTGGCGGACTTTGAAGTGTATGGCATGGCCATGGGCTTGTCGGAGTGAGGAGAGCAGGAGTGTCAGGCCCAGCTTCTACATTGTGTTGATCACGAGGCCAGACGGCTGCTCAGGGTGGAGTGTCCCACTGGAGTGCCCACGTCGGGAGGCGGGGACGAGTGTCCCACTGGAGTGCCCACGTAGGGAGGCGGGGACGAGTGTCCCACTGGAGTGCCCACGTAGGGAGGCGGGGACCCGAGGCCGTAGGGAGAACCAAGATCGTCATTGGTGCATGTATCATTGCCACTCTGGAACGTTTATTTGATCAGAAGGCAGATATCATCTCTGGAAATATGATCTCATGGAAGTGTCGACAAAAACGGGTAACAACTTGTACATGTTTGGCCAACTCGCGCGAGCGGAGTCACGTGGGTTCGGTTTCCTGGAGGATGAAATGATCAAGGGTCAGTCTTTGATTGCTGTTGGTCGGGTTGCTTACGTGAGCGTCTGTGCTTCAAACAAGGTCTGATCCTACATCGGCTGCAGACCATCTCCTTTGCATCGGCTTCGAACCATTGAGAGAAAGCGGTCACAGAGAGAGGTGCTTCCCTTTATCAGCTCAACAGCATTGAAATTCTCAACTGGAGGTAAAGCAGTTTGTGACTTAAAAAATGTATAAAGGTCTTGAGAATGTATTCGACTGTAAGGAATAGTGCTATAAACATATAATGGGAATTCAGGGTCGGATCAAGGATTTTGTTTGGGGGGGGGGGGTCGGTGGGGTATGCAACATTATTGGTCCCCTTGAGCTTAGGTCCCCAAAGCGTTCTTGCATTTTGGCCATTAGATTGTAAGTTTCCTAGTATTTTGATTGGGGACCTGTCTTATTGTGCGTAGTCCTATAAAACAGGCGCGCCTACGCATGAATATACATAGAGTCTATCCATCTTGTCCACATCATGGTGAATCTCGTTATTTTGACGCTACGTTCTTCGGAAATACGGCAAAATTAACTAGAGTTGGCTGCTAGATACCATAAATAAACTAAGAGCTTGATTTCTGGCTTATTTACAGCTAACCGGCTGGTCGATGTGATCAGCGGTGGCTGACGATTAGTGCAGTGTTGTTGTTGCAGTGCAGTTTTCTTTCACAATGTGCTTCTGACTAAGTTTCTTTTATTGGGTGTAGCTGTGGGGCAAAGCTATCTCACTCATACAAATTTCATTTAAGCATGACCTTAAAGTCAGCTGAGCTTAACTTAGGTCAAATTCATAAGCTATCCAAATTGAGAAAAAAAGTGCTAACTCGGTCTAAGTGACCATTATAATGATTTTATGTGGTCAGAAATGGTGTGCTGTACACCTACAGGTGCACATGCTCTCATAGCCCTTGTTTACATTATACATAGTTCCTTCGACACTGGACAATGCGTTCATAACATACTGAGAACAGGCAAGCTGATACATGAAATAAGGTGCCATCAGCTTTACGAATACCATGCAGAGGTGATTACAGGCGTCGCACCCATTCACCTAGCCTCTCCGCCGCATCGATGGTCACGTCAGAGGTCATTGACCCTGGATAACTTCACATGATGTCACCATGCATGTTTCACGTGATCATTATGATTTCATTATGCGTTGAAATAAGATCACAATATGTTGTCAGATGATAGTTCGAATTCTACGCCTAAACCTATTATAACTGCCGATTTTGAGCTGAACATGTGTCTTGTAGAACACACCCAAAGAAGTAGGTCATGACCGATGCCAATGACATGTTCTCCGTGTTCATACAATGGTTGCACATGTGAATTAGTACTCCTTTCTTCATGTACATACACCAAGACTACAAAATATGTATAAATTTGCATTATTTACGTAAAATAGCAAAAGCTTTCCCTCACCTCGGATCGCTGACCTTGCCTGTTTCAAAAAGTCTGAATGATGCAAACTGCAGGTGCCATCGTGCTTTTACCAAAGTAAGTTTAAACAATGATAAATAACACGCAAAAAAGTTAAGCGTGGTCAAAGTTTTTAGAAGTTGACCTCTCACTCGACCTAGGCCACTGACCTTTGCAGTTCAAAACTTTAAGCCTGCACAAAAGATGCCAAATGGATAGATGGACAGGTACTAAAATTTCGTGCTGCTGCGAGCGTTCACTTTCTAGCTGAACCCGAAACACCGTAGAGGGGAAGTTAACCCCTTCCCCTCCCCCTCCCCCCCCCCCCGTCCGGCCGGAGACAGGTTAATCAGTAATGTGCACAACAAACAATCCTATCCGGCTCGTAGATGCAGATCAGTGCTCTGGAACAATCAATTGCACACCACAAACGAAGATAAATGGCACCTCACCACGAAAACAAAGCGGAATAAGGCTATCACTTCCGTCTGATGTGTTTAAATAATGTTCCTCGCAGATGCCCTGAACAATTTTCGAAAGTGAAAAGGCTTTAAAAGAAGGTACTGGAACCGCACCACGAAAAAAAGCGCGTCACTTCATTTCACGTGAACATGCCCGCAGTGAAGGTGGCTCACGCCTCCACATCAGCGTCCACTGTCACCGAGATGTCGCCGATCAGCACTCATCGGAGTCTTTGAGCTGAGTGACATTGAGCCGCGCCTGGCGCAGATGCCCCACCAGAGAATATTCTACCTTAGAGTAGCCTGTCGGCACGATCACATCTCCGCCGGCCAGGAAGGCCGACATGTAGCCGAATGTGCCGTAGGTGACGATCGTGTGGTTGCACATGCCGAGCGTGGCCATGTCGAACGCCTCCGACGCGTCGGAGCCGACGAACATCACGTCGTCGCCGACGATGTGTGTCCGACACCAGGCCATGTCGTCACTCGACACGAGGAAGGCGGGGCGCGGGTAAGTACGCCGCGCGTGCCTCAGCGCGCACCGCAGATACGCGGGCGAAACCAGGTGGCCGTGTATCTTATCCCGCAGCCACTCGGCATAGTCGGTGCGTCTCACGTGCACGCCGATGTACGTGCGCGTGCCGTTCGGCGCGCGAGCGAGCCGCCGCTCGGCCTCACGTGACACGTTGGCGCGCCACACCAGCTGCGCCAGCGCCTCTTCGCGCCGCGCGTAGAAGCGCGACACCGGGCACGGTCCGCCCGTCACGTGCAGCGACTCGCCCGCCGCCAGTCGCGCTCCAAACGTCTTTTCATCACCCATTGACACTTTTTGCCAAGAGATGGCAGCACTACACCGATCCGACAATAGAGAAACCTGCCGCCGATCCTCAAAGTGGCGCCGCAGTTCTTCGTACATCGGTGACAGGATGCGCGCCTGGACGCCGGTGATTGCTTCAGACAGCACCCAGAGTGTGAGGTACTGGCAAATTTTATTGCCCAGCCGGCCACGGGGGTTCACGACGAGCAGTGGACCTTGCGGGCAGCCGGCTAGTGGCAACTTCGTGGAAGTGCTGTTGTGCGATTCCGTGGAGGTTTCTCTTGGTGGCGAAGGCTGCACGAGCTGAACGCCTTTGTATCCTACAGAGGGCACAGGCCGTTCGCCAAACCACTGGGTGTTCGTAAGCCTGTCACTCAGTGGCATGCACCATATCAGCAATAAAGCAGTCGCTGATAGCACCATCAGTGTCTGAAAAGGAAGAAAAGCTGCGTCTGGGGCACGCCCTTGGCACGACTACGGCGGCAATCCATGACGCTTCCCATGCATGGTAAGCGTCATGGCTACGTCAGATTAGTTTCATCTACTAGTTCATCAGCAAATTGCTTTTCATCAACCAAACGTCAAATTAGCTTCATCAACTAGTTCATAAAAAATCAGGTTCATCAGACTAAACGTCAAATTAGCTTCATGAATTAGAGCATAATGGCAAATAGCTGGTTTCTTGCGCACTAGACCAAATTATTTCTGGAGCTGTTTTTATTATCTTGTATAGTGCATGCATTCTATCTCTATTTTTTTCATCGCTTTCTGTAGGATGGACTAGTAAACTAACATCTTGATGGCCATGTGATACCCATTGTTGCTAAGCTTGTTAGCCTGAAATACAGTTTATACATAAATGAACACACTGGCACGCTGGGAGCGTCATGACATGTGACACCATAGAAAAGTTATAACACGTGACACCCTGGGAACGTCATGACACGTGACACTGGGAAGGTCATGACACGTGACACTCTGGGAAGGTCATGACACGTGACACCCTGGGAAAGTCATGACACGTGACACTCTGGGAAGGTCACGACATGTGACACTCTGGGAAGGTCATGACGCAATTATGTACAGCGGACGTAGGGAAGTATTCAATCATGACAACAAATTATGCTGAAAACGGGCCTTGCTGGCACAGAATATAGCATGGGTAAATCGTGTTAGCCAACTTTCGAATCTAAAAAGCTGGCTAAGGCTCTGAACAAATTTAAACACACGGACTATCTTCGTTTCCATGCCGTCCCGCAAAATAAGCCGGCGGCCGAAGCACTATTGTCCGTCGTGTTTGTCAAAGGTTTGTTTTATGTTTTCTCTCGGAAATTGGGAAGCATGGTCAAAACCCCAAATTCCGGAGAGCTAGGGAGAGCCAGAGAGCTGTCAAGCTGTTTCGGCAGAACCGCGAGGCACAGTCACCATTACAGACTGTGTTCACGGCACCAGTGCTGGTGCTTCTCGCGTGCTCTATATGAGGTAGGCAAAAAGCGTGCAGAAACATAAGCATGTAAGGGTGCATACAGAACTTCCGATATAGCGAATCAGTCCATTGTTTCCTGTTTTGAGAAAATTTTAGTGTTGGCTTGATTTTGCGCTTTTTCATCGCGGGCACCCCTCGCCTCTTGCCCCCTTGTTGCAATACATGTGTATCCGCGAGGGGACTAGTGGCTTGACGCTTAAGTAGGGAGCCTGATGTCCTCCGCCGGATGTTACCTTGCGTCGAGTTTGCATTGTCGTATCTTTCGTTTTTCAACGTCAGTTGTGCATCTTCAAATTTGTTGCACACACGCTGACGGATAGATCTCTGAAAACAAAAGACAGGGAGTTAGCTTTGTTGCCTCTTCACATCAGACTGGAACCATAAATGTTGGAGCCTCAGTTATACGCGAGGAAATTCTCCCCACGTACTTTGTGTCAGAGAGTGAATGGCTCATGGGTGAGCATACGATGAGGTTCCGGCCAGCGAAAGGTTTGATATTTGCCTACGATGCCATCAAATCGTCCAGTTTCAAAATGGTTCAAGTGGTGAAGTTAGACACCTTTGGACGGCAGTCATTCTTGAGCAGAATGGTTTTCGCGCTACGCGAAAAAATCACGAGCACGTGAAAAAGCGCGATAACCAGTAGACACGGAATCTGTAAAGGCAGAAATGGGAACAACGGATAAAATCCCAACGCATGTTTAAGACAGCTGATCGACGTGCCAATCCTAGATCTAGCAGTCGTTCACGTCTGCCGTTGGAACAAAACAGCAGATCTGCTTGTGCGGTTGAGGGCATCTAGCACACCGCCACCGTGTTCGTCGAACCGCGGTGCCTCTGCTCTGCGGATAGGCAGATCTCTTATCAGATCCAGCCTCGGATATAGGAGGCGCTCCGAATGGTGAAGCGTGGCGAATGTCCAGGGACGTGACAATCTAGCACGACAACTGTAGTAGCAGACAACTCATGCAACTTGGCAATTTGTTCATTCAATGGTTGTGTTGCCTAAGAAAGTATCTCAGTGATATGTATGGCTTCGTCTAACACTCCGTTGTTGCATCAGATTGAACGATTCCCTAGAAACTGACTTCGCTAAATGCAAAGCCTGATTTTGAACTGTTGTGGGTCAGTGGCTTTTCGAAAACCATTCCCAAAAAACCTTCGGGGGTCAAATTGCCCTTCACCCGAGCGTGTGTTAATACAAATCCATTGGTGTTATCCGCTAAGATATATCTTCGTTACTTTGGAAACGCTGGGGATTCACGTCCTCCCCCCCCCCCCCCCGTGTCAGTCCGCGTCATAGAAAATGGCGAATCAGGGCGAGCACTAATTAGGAGCCAAAGGAACATATTTTTAGGCTACATGCCTTCGTCGATGCAGTACAATACATGGATGATGATGTGACCGAAAAATGTAATGCCCATCCATTTATTGCACTGGTTCTACAGCGGTCTGCGGCCGAAAGTTCAACATCGGGTCATTTTGTCACGTTCTGTTCACGTTTGTCACGTTTACTTAAAAGAGCGAAAGAGGCCAAAACATTGTTTGCACGTGCATGGAATCTTCCTCGCAGCTGTAAGGAACAGCAGCAGGCTAAACCTTATAGGTTAAGATCTCGGTTCCAAAGCACAAACCAAATCCGGTGTATAACATTGCTTTGCAAAATCCAAACCATTTCCGCACGTGCTAAAACTGTATGGGATAAAAATATAAGGATTTGAGGGGTTGTCGTTGGCGAGATTTTGGCATTAAGAATATATATTTTGGGACTTCCATCTAAGTTGCGCATTTCAGGCTCTTTCGCCACCACTGTTCCTCCTAGGAACATACTAGGCGACCACTTCCCTCCCTCCTCCCCTTGGCTACGCTGGGTACGAATCGTAACGTAGGGTACGAATCGTAATCGAGATATTTGAGGCAAGTTTTGATCCTGGCTCAAATGGAACAGTTCACTTTTCTGCTTGGGTGAGGGGCTTATGATAATTTATGAGCTGGGCAGTCTTCAAAAATTTGTGAATGATCCAATTTTCTCTTACGGATGTAGCAATTAGTCCTGCTGCTCCAGTAAGGGTGTGTCGCAAGCGTACTGAATTAATGATTCAACATTCTGAAGTACGCAGAAATGTTGCCACATCTCAAACATTTAAGAATTAATCTAACATTGGACAATGTCAACATGATCTCGTGGCTGTGAAGCCACCATGCTGACACTGGCCTACCTATTGTCTGTTGTTCGTGGCTGAATTATCAGTTTAGCCAAGAAGTGGAAGCTGGCATGGGCAAAATTTCATTCACGCTTGCCAAGATTTTTTGTTGCCTGATCACCTGAATTGAATTAGTGGAACTCTGACTGCATGGTGGCAAGTTGTGTGAGCAGCCACGTCCAGAGCCAAATTACATTTGTGATATATGGCTCTTTTAATGCAACAATGGGCTTATGTCCATCGATTTTACACCTCCTTACATAAAACTGCTTTACTGCTGGACCCAGGCTTGTTTGGTGGAGCTCATTCTGAATTTACGATTCCATGTTTTGCTTTACAGCTTTGTTACTAAATTTACAGCGTTCGGAAATACATCCAACATATTGTCATTCAGGCCATGCAATACTGTTGATTTGAAGCTGCTGCAGGTTTTCCAGCCTATTTGGGTCACTGTTTTATCGGACCATTTCAGTTAAATTGGGGATATTAGCTGCAGCGTAAATGCATGGGGTGCAGCTGCATAAAGGGCCGGGCAGAATGATATGGGAATGGTAAGATAGCCAATATGCAGGTAAGACAATTACCCTCTGGGTAGCCATCAGGCTGTGGCTGTTTCAATCAATTGTCACTTTCGTTTTGCATGCAACCGGGTGAGTTTTCTGGTGCTGCATGATCTGTGCTCCAGCTTAGCACCTGCACCTAGGTGCCATACATTGCTTACAAATTATGAGAGCCAAGCCAGCTGTGAGGAATTCATGCTCCAAACTTAGATGCCAAGCATGAATGGTCAACATTAGGCATGCAACTGCCTATCATTCAGGTCTGTCACTGAGATAACATTTCATGCTCAGATGGTGCCAGAAAAACTTGCGTTGTTGCAATGTTAGAAATCCTGTCCACAGCACACAGTACACAAATGCAGCAACTCATTGCATTTGTTACAACTTTTGGTTTTCAGTGATGTGTTAGCCAGCTTCCATTGTGAATGGCTTGCCTAGGTACGCATGAGGGGCATCCCAAGAGAATGGTCTGGTCTTTAGATGATTCACTAACACTTTAAAAATTGTCAATAATTTAGTATCATGTAGCATAGGACGGATGCCATGGAGATGCGTGTCCATGTTTGCCATGATTCCATGTTTTCATGAAATCCATTACTGTAATTTTCCGATTACACAGTTTTGTGCACACAGTAGTTCTTTCACCCAGGAGATCACGGAAGTCCTAGGAATTGCATTTTCTTAAATGATGACAGCCATTGTTGCCGTCAGTCTTGGCACTTGGAGCAGGGTTGTGTGCCCGAGGTTAAGGGC